TGCACCTCCAGGGGTAAAGTCATGCCACTGTGTTATCAGCACCAAAGTGACCGCTCCAGGGCACAGGGTGTGGAGGTTCTGGGCCATCTCAGCCTCACTGATGTGGCCCAAAGGAAAGCAGAGCAATACATTTGGCACCAGCTTGGCCGTGGGAGTTTCTGGAAGAAGGTGTACAAGGCGCAATCCCACCATCTAGATTTGTGTAGGGTTTACTCCTTTTCTTCTCCTGAAGATAATCCACAAGGCAGGGGAGGTTTAGGATCAGAGTTTTCCTTCTCATAGGAGGGCTACCTTCTCAGGTTGACAAGCCCCATAGCATCTAATATAGGGTGGGGGGAATCCAATTATAGCATTAGAACAAAATTCATAACCAAAACCACAATAATACAAGCTACTCATCTCAAGGCAACATGAATTAACAAGTCAGTTTACCAAAGAATACAACAAGATTTTGATGTGTACTAGGTCACCGAGAGAGTGAGAACCACACAGCCACCCGACCTCCAAATCAGCTTACAAACTGTACAAGACTAGCTTTCTATGGAAATACACACTTTCACACTTGAGAGGATCACATTTCACATAGGTACCAGTGAGCGTGTAATGAATGTCACTGCATAAAATTATTAAGATGCACTATTTTTCTTCTGTGTTCAAAAGGATGCAAATAAGTAGTACAAAGCCTGCTGAATAAGTGTAGGCAGGCATGTTGGATACACTTGATTTAAAGCAGTGAAATCAGGCAGCCATCTAAGGAAGGGGAGTCGGGCTTCAGCTGAGGAAAGGAATGGGTTAATTTTGGTTTCTTTCAGTTTTTCCATCTTAAATTCAGCTCTCCACTTTCCCACATCACTTTGTGATTTTTTATATAAAAAGTCCTCATGAAAATGCACAGGCATTTTAGTGCTAATTTATCCTGATGTTGCCCAGCTAGTGGGAGCTGATGAAAAACATTGTGTAGAAGGCTTGAATTTTGGGTGCACAGGATGTTGAAGAGTTTTAGCTTGTCTGCTAAAACTGAAGCACATTGGGGCACATGTGTTTTTCTGTCAGCATGATTCAGGGGTGGTTGTTTCAGTTTTGAGAAACTGATATTCTGTAAAGAAACAAATATATAAACAGAGTACCAGAGAAGAGCTATAGCTCGATGGCAGAGCATATACATTGTCTGTTGAAGGCCCAAAATTCAATCCATAACATTCTCAGTTAAAGGATTTCAGGTACCATGGCTGCAAGGGACTCTGGAAAGTTACTACTTATGTTGTTGTTGTTACTCACACCCCACTTTTCTCCCTGACAGGGACTCAAGGCAGCTTACAGATAAGAAAAATAATTAAAAAGCAATTAAGCCAAAATATATTATTGCAAACATGCAGATAATTACAATAAAAGCAGCAAAGCACCAGCCTTTTCATTAAAAGCAGTCCGTTCCCCAAACCTGTTGGAACAGGAAAGTCTTCGCCTGTCAACGGAAGGACAGAAAGGAGGGAGCCAGTTTAGCTTCTCTAAGGAGAGTTCCAAAGACTGGGAGCAGCCACCACTGAGAAGGCCCTGGGGTGACAGTGGACTAGGTGAACCAATAGTCTGACTTCACATGCAAACCAATACTGCAGGAATAGTGCAAGTCTCTAGCATGCTCTCTTATCCAAAGGAAACAGGACGCACGAGGTCTGTGAACAAGATCTCCCACAGGCTCTGAAAGATAAAATCAACTTCCACCGTCTCTGACCACTGGTTCCTCTAGCAAGGGATGATGTGAGTTATAGTCCAACTACATCTGGGGAACCATGGCTGAGAAAGGCTGGTCTACACTGACTGAGAATAGCCCCCCAAGGTTTCAGATATTTTGGAGTCCCAAAATATTGTGCAATAAATATTTAAAGATTGCATTTGGCCTTTTTTGAATGAAGCAGCCCAATTTAATGACCGAATGGGGCTCTTAGGCATTCTGTTCAGGGCTGGCCCACCAATGAGGTAGAGTGAGGTGACCCCCTCAGGCAGCAGGATACACAGGGGCAGCAGATCCTGATGTAGATCTTTACTCCCTTGGCAGGGAGGGAGGGGCACCATATTGTGTTTCACCTCAGGTGCCAAAATGTCTTGGGCTGGCCCTGGTTCTGCTCACCTGTAAAAGCAATACATGAGCAGGGGTGAGTATACTGTGCTCTGCCCCCACCATCACCCTGCACGTGTTGGAGGGCACACTTCTGAGGTGGCGAGAGTCCTGCACAACAGGTGGCCTGACCTAGCATAAGGCACTGAATGCTTCAGACTTCCAAGTTTTTCTAAACTTCCTCCAGACCAGGGGTCGGCAAGGTTTACCTCGCCTGGGCTGGTTCACTCCAGTGGAGATCCCTCTGTGGGCCGGATCATGCGCACGGCCATGATTTCCAGCATCTGCGTCTGCGCAGATGTGATTTCTGGCACTGCGCAGATGTGATTTCTGGTTTAGCGCAGCGTGCAGGGACTCGCCAAGCTGGCGGCTTGGTTCAGGTGCGGCTCATGGGCCGGTTAAACGACCCCCGTGGGCCGCTTGTGGCCCATGGACCTTAGGTTGCCTACCCCTGCTCCAGACTATTAAAACAGACCTGGTGTAACAGGAAACCAGCTCTTTGATAGACAGTTTCTTCTAACCTGCTAACGTAAGTGATCTGGAAATTAGAAGTCTCATTGCTTCAGTTAATACTGGAGAAGGGCCCTTCCCTCCAAAATACAGTGTCACAAAATATTAATTTTTCTTAATGAGCCATTCTCACTGGAACTGTCAAAACAGCTGCAATAGTTTCTGAGAAGTTATACTTTTGTTTCCCACAAAACAGTATCTCTCTCTCTCTCTACCACCTGCTGTTGTTTATGGCAGAAAACTGTAGAAGTTGAAATGTGGCAAGAGCTGCTGATATATATGTGAGTGCATCTTCAGTAACATAGAAGCTTACTTCAAAGTAGAAATGAATAGGAATGCACTGTTAGAAATGGTGGCTACAGAGTAAAATGAAACCTAGTTTGGTCCCTCTGGAGCAAGTCTGAAGGTGATCTGTATGTTGTCTGTTGAAACTTGGTTTTTTTCATTCAGGCTCCATAGAGATGCTGGCATAACAGATGTATTAAATGGGGCTATATATGCAGGCAGCAGTAAGATTTCTCCTAGGTTGGGCTATTCTTAAGGTGAGAGTCCACAGTTATTTTACTGTGTAACATGGTACATAGGCTCTGAGTAAAACATTAACAAAGACCCATCCCTTTTTAAAGAGGCCACTTGGAACAGAGTTTTAAAGAAGTATTTATTGATACATGGCTATGTGGTTAAATCACACACATACCCAGATTTAAGCAAATGTCAGAGAGGTTTTCATCCCCTTCGAATTCACATGTGCCCACATGACTCCCATGGAATTGTTAACCACTTTGTCCAAGCACAGTGTCCCAGTATTAAAAATTCCACTTGGCTTTCACCATCCCTCTGCCTGACAGTTAACATTCTTAACAAACCATTACTATAAGCATTAACTATATTAATTTAAAATGGTTAACTGACAGTAATTCGACAATATATACTTAAAGTACCTGTGCCAACTTATTCCTTACAGATTTAGTTTTCGTTTTAACTAAGCAAAAATGGTCTGTCTTTCCACAATTAAGACATTCCTAAGGCGCATCTTGGAACTCCTTTCCCTGCTATATTTTGATGGCAGTATATTTTTTCCTTAGATATTCACAGCCTTTCTTCTTTCAGCTAGTTGATCCTCTTGATCATTTTCCAGTTCTCTAATTACAAATTGTTAAAGTATGAATGTAGTATGAATCCTAAAATAATAGCTCAGTCTCAAAATAATCATAAATAATCAAAAGAGAGAATTAAAATAATCTCATAAATATCCCACAGCATTTAAAGTGCACAGAATAGATTTTTGGGATCCCTAATCCCTTCAGTTCCTCATCAGACTCGATTGCATACTAATTTCCTGTATAGGGAGCTGGATGGGAAATCAAATCTTTCATCCAGTTGCTTCAATATTAAAGTTCTTAAAATATCAAATGTTATCAGTGTTTATTAAAGCTTCAGCCACTTATCTAATGCTGCTAGAACTTCCTATTTCTCGAAACATTTAAGTCTTAAAGTAGAAGTCCAAATCTCCATGCTCAAATAATACATCAAAGGCACAATAATCTATACATCTTCAATCCAGTTTCTGACTATATCAAGATATCACAGGCCACTCATAACATAGCCTCTCAATGGCTGAGAAATAGCATCTTTAAAGGTTGCTAGCGGGGTTTTTTGTGGAGAAGTAACTTACCAAGCCCTATGCCCCTTGCAACTTGAGTCTCAGCTGAGGTCTCAGTTGAAGGTGTCTTATGGCTCGGTGCTCCAGGGCACTCAACAGCGCATGGTTTTGTGGCCTTCCTCATCCAAAGTAGCTCTGACTGGGAGTGACCTGAAGGTATCTCAGACAAAAAAACCTAAGCCAATCTGGGTTTGGACGTGTGCCATGTCTAACACAGATATTTCCCACTGCAGACATACTGTGTGGAGCTGCCCCTACCCAAATGTCAAGGACCTTGTTGGCTGGGTCTATTCTGGGGGTCCCCTGTGCCAACCAGATACAGTCTGATCACGGCGACATTCTCAATAGTTTTGCAGGCCAGGACTGATAAAAGAAAGTACTACTTCATGCAGGGCGTAGTCAAACTATGGAACTTGCTTCCCCAGGAGACAGTGATGGTCGCTCAGAGGCATAGTGGGGGCAGCGTGAGGGGGGGCATTGCCCCGGGGGCGGTTTCTTCCAGGGTCGCATTTTGCTTCTTAGGGCAACTGGGCAGATTGGAAGGATGCCTGCCTGCCCTGCTGCGTCCTCCTCACGTCACCCTCCATACCCTGCCTGCCCGTGCGCCCTGGCATGTGACAAAGACACACGAGAGCAGAAGCAGCCAAGCAGGCTGGGAAGTGCTGGGACTGCACAGTCATTTGGGCCTAGGAAAGTTAGTCAGGCCTAACTGCTAACTGTGGAGTCACTCTGACGTGTGACTTAGCAGCCATTTTCTCCGTGTGTTCTCTGTAAGATTTCAGTCAGAGTCAGTCTGCCTCAGTGGTGAGCAGAGTCAGCATGTAATCTCAGTCAAACTGTTTGGAACCATGTTGTTTATGAAGAAGTTTATTTTAACTCCGTAAAACTCTTATTCTTTCACTTAAAAACTCTGCATTATTAATTTACGCTGCACGTCCCGCCCAGGTGCTGGGAAGCTATGTGCCACCACTGTGGTCACCAGCATGGATAGCTTGAGAAGCGGATTTGACCAATTGATGGGAGGAGAGGGCTGTCAGTGGCTCCTAGCCTTGAAGGCCATGCTCTGCCTCTACAGTTGGAGACAGCACTGTTTCAAAATGCTGGAAACCATGCGAGGGGAGAATGCTGCTGCCCTTGGGCCCATGTTCTGCTCCCTGGCTGACCCCTTTGAGAACATGATGCTGGGTCACTGCATGATCCAGCAGGCTCTCCTTATGTTCTTGTGCATGTTCTCACTGCTTGTGTGTTGTGCTACATTGTGAAAGTCTACATTTGTTCTGAGCGGATAGAATTTGTAAATAGCTGTAGCATGTTGAATTACCAGATGCTTTGCTTTTAGCAGCATAGGCTAAAAGACTAAGATACAAAGATACACCCATTTTAGTCTGTCTCAGCACCTCATCTGCAATATGGGACTAATACGGAAATACAAACCTACCTTACAGAGTTGTTGTAAGGATTGCAGTGAAGTAATGAACATGAAGTGCTTTGTATTGAAAGAGCCATTTAAATGATCCTTATTGCCATTGTTACTTGGCTAATTTTATTACCTTTTGCATTCTAGCTATATAAAATCACAGACGCAGTAATATAGATTTGTTGTGTATGTCAAGGAAGCAATATAGCAGAAGTTTAATTGGTTTGATGGTTTTGATCTTCCATCTCCAAATTGACATTTAACTTCTGAAAAGGAAGGAGAAATGTATTCCCCACATCAATCAGACATAACAGGAGTGCCTTGTTAAAAGGATCATTAGATAATCAATAGCTAGAAAGAAATTACTCAGTGCTATGGATGTAATGTCTAGACAAATTGTGCCCTTTGGTTATATGGCAGTGTATTCATAGACTAGCATTAGATTCAGAGCACAGTTGAGGTTTTTGAAGGATCAACACTTTAAAAGGAGAAACTGTAAAATTATGCAGTTGCTACCATTACTGACACATGTTGAATTCAAGTGAGGCTGTTATGTACTGAAGTTCTCACCCTGGGCCAGCAGGGGGATACTGTAGATAGTTATGCAAATGAAGGATCGAAAGTGACGTTTAGTGATTGGATAGTTTTAGAAAGTTGTTACAGTAACGTGGTACTGGAGCTCTATATAAGCAGGCTGAGCCCTTCAGTTCAGTTCTGTCCTGGCCTGTGAATAAACAAGAGCTGTTTGGAGAATTGCTGTGTCACCTGATATGTTCACCCACAACTTAGCAGAGGCCACAAATGGCCCTGAGAGCATCAAGACATGATGATTCTCTGAAATACTGTATGGTGAACAAACATGGCTGCCACAGCATCACCTCCTGACACTCCAGTGGCATTTGCACCCTCATTTGCAGCCTGCACATCAGCAGGAGAAGCACTTTCTGCCTGTTCCAGGTGCTCCAGCTCTTCCTAGCCATGTTAAAGGGGTGGGGGTGGGGGTGGGGTGGGAGAGAGTTTAATCGCCCTCAGACCATCTCATGGAGGAATTTGGTGAGGTGTGGATTCTAGAGGAGGGCAAGGTTGAGTATATTTATTGTGAACCAAAGTGCAAATAAAGCTTGTCAGATGGGAGAGAGAATTGTGGGCACATTGCAGGCAAGTGTGGAGGCTGGTGAATCCCAAATGAGATTTAGCTACAGGTGGAGCAGTCATGCTTCACAGCACACTCAAAGCAGATGGGCAAGTGAAACTATGCTTTGGGTTGTTTTGTGCATTTACTCTCAAGTAAATTTGAAGATACTATGGTTCATTCATGTCTCGCTAAACTCAGGTCATCTTAACTATAAAATATATAAAATGAACAACATCAAAACAAAAAAGTGTAAAGGGAGCTAGTGAATAGTATATTCCATGAATGCATTAATATATGTGTTGTTCTAAATTGTAATGTATTTCATTAAAAAGGTGCAGGTCCGGGCAGTGACCTTGAGAAAATGTTGTATACTGTCTGTGTGAATGGACAAATAGCTCAGAATGTGGAGCCGTGAGTCAAATAGTATCTTGGGAATGGAGCTTGTCCTCCTCCCAGGTACAGACACAACTTGCATAAAAACAATTTGCCTGAAATAATTGCTGCTAACAGCATCATCATCATCATTTTATGTGTATGCAGCCTTTCCACAGTTAAAACAATGGCTTACAATATGAAAAGATTTACATAGTTACAAACATAGCAAAGTAGTGATATAAATAAATAAAACACATCAAAAGCTACATAACCAAACTGAACAATTTCCACATAAAAATAAAGATACAAAAAATTAATATCATTAACAGCAAAAACTCCCGACAAAACTTTCCCCAAAATACCCCACCCTGGGCCAGGTGGAGAGGGGCAGGAACCCAGCAGGTCAGACTAACAGGTACTTGGCTTGTGATATCACAATTCCTAGCATACCATAGCTGTGTCGGTGGGGATGGGATCCCAACAGGTACCTGCTGCCATGGTAACATGTATAACAATGCAGGTATGGGCTAACCACATTAACTGGAGTTGAGACCACCAGTGGTTGTTTGATGGGTTTCATGCATGTCTACTCAGAAATAAGTTTTTGCAGTGGGCTTCCTCCCAGGTAAGTGAGAATAGGATTGCAGTTTTAACCTTGAAGTGAGATAGGTACATAGAAGTAGTATCATGGGTGTAGCCAGGATTTTTGTTGGAGAGGGGGAGGCCTTTTATGGGGGGGGCAGAACCTCAGCTGCATATTTTCTTGATTTTTCTAAATTGGGGGGGGGGCAATTGCCCCTCCCTGCCCCCTCTTGGCTACACCCATGACTAGTATATTAAATCTGTATGTGCCAAAAAGCCAGTAAACTTAGAATTGGAACTGGCATTCAAAGAGTGAGACTTATCAGGTGATAGTCAAGTTTTACTCATAGTAGGCACATTGAAATTAATGGGCACAACTTAGTCAGTTTCATTAATTTCAGTGGATCTACTCTGAGTAAAACTTAGATGATTACTACCCATAATTTTAAACAAATTATGATGATGAGTATTTATATAGCCCTTAATTAAAATCCTGACTACTTCAAACAGCTCCTTAAGGTAGGTCAGTATTATTGTCCACATATTGCAGTTGGGGTGATATAGGGGTGAGGTTTACCGACAGTGACTTTCCATTCTGCCAGTCTCAGGTCAATATGTGTCAAACTATCATTTGGATATATAATCTGAATTTTTTGTAGACTAAAACAAAGAAAGGAAAGTAGATACCTGAAAACATGCAGTGTACGTGTCAACGTTTCTGAACAAGTTTAGAGAAATAAGTTTGTTGCATTGGGAATAAAGAAGGAGACATGTGCATGAAAAATTATGGCTGGGAAGTGTGGGAAAAGATCAGAACATTGTGGGGGAATGGCAATTGATTTTGACAGGTATATAAATCTAGGGATGGGGTCTGAGCACTCACAATCAGTGCAAAGGTAGTGAGAGAAAGGACAGCTGTGAATTGAACCAAAGACAAATTTCCCCAGGGAACACTGACTGGGTGATAGGCAGCAAACCAAAGTGAAGAAGGGAAAAGTATACCATCAGGCAGTATTTATTTTTCGTTATTTGTGAATTTTAAAGAGCACCATCCTGTACATACCTATTCAGAAGTATGCCCTTTTGGGTTCAAAGCAACTTGCTCCTATGTAATTGTGTATTTACGGTATATAGTCTTGCATCCTAAGAATGCTTGCCAAGTGTTTTTAACAGTTACTATCTACAAGATATCATAGCAAATTATTTTGTCTGTTGGCATCTGGGCACCTCTTAAGGTTGTAACCAACTTTTGCATTATGGTTCCTGAGATCAAGAAGCAGGTTTTCACCTTTCCTTGAATGCAATTGGACACCATTTTGAATCAAGATGGTGGAATGGACCTTTCAAAACAGAACTGATCTTTTGTTTTCTTAGAATTCCTGAGCAATGCCAGGTATGAGGCTGATAGTTTTTACACAATAAAAATAACAGAACCACAAAACAGCAAGCAGTGGAACAGACAAAAATTCTAGGGTTAAATTGACTAAAACTAGTATATCCAAAATATCCAATAGAACAAAAACAGGTATATACCTAGCGCCAAACTGAAAACAAACTTGATGACTACCAGGAGAGCCTCCTAACTTCATATAACATGTGTCCAACACATGTCTTATAAATGACTAATGGTGCTCAAATACAAAGTGAATATATTATATGCATGTCAGCTACAGAATTTTCACTAACGCAGAGGCAGAGTGTGTCTTGCTGGCACCTGTGTGTGTGTGAAAGAGAGAGGGGGGCAAGGAGAGGGGCAGAGAACAAACAGTACCTACTGTGCCTGCCCTGCGCCTGCTGCCTCATGCTGCCCTCTGCGGATCTGGGGAGGGCGGCATGAGAAGAATGCAACAGACACACACCTCTCGATCCCAGCCTCGCCAGCAAAGGTAAGGTTGGGACTGAAGGGCGCACGACTGCCACATCCCCATGCCACCATCCCAGAGCAGTCTTGGAAGGCTGGGATCTGGAGAACATGGTGTGAGGAGGATGCAACAGTCACACACACCCTAACCATGTAAGATGCAGTCTAAAAGCTGTTGCATATGCAAGCCTTTAGGTGAAATGTTAAGAAACAATAAGAAACAATAGCAAAAGGCTATAGATGCTAGCTGAGCACTGCCACATGGGTAATATACTTTAAAGTACACAAAAATGTTGTCTTTTTTTCACCTGTCTCATGACTTCCTAGCAAGTTACAGTAGATTGCAGTCTTAATGAGGTAAGTCAGGTACAGAAGCCTAGACCAACTCCCAAATTCTGATTTTAAGCGCTCATTATAGCTTCTGCTTGACCCCGTCAATTTACCACCAAATGTTAAAGCACTGCATCTGTTTCTGAATCAATAGACTGGGGTTTGTTTTTTGGTTAACTTCTAATTCAGGTTCAACTGACTTTCAATAATTATTTAGATTCTATTCCAGTTTGAAGGGGAAATGTGGTTGGCTCAGTCTGGTTTTCAATTCATGGCTAGTTTGACATCTTGCTTTAGTTTTTCCTTCTGGTTATACTTGTGGGATGTAAAACTGCAGTCAAGTACAACATTCCTACAGTGGACATATTAGGGGATGTTTTGTACCACTCAGGAAAAGACTTCCTGTTTCCTCCTGAGCTGGGACAGACTTCCACTACATGTGACTCAATGAGTGTGGTCTGTTGTACTAGCATGGAGGAGCACACGGCCTCCATGTTCTGATCAGTGTGTCTTCTCCATTTTGTATGTTGCTGTGTGTTTGGAGAAGTGACTGCTTAGTCGCAGTCACTTGGGACTCACTTCTTCATGGAATAGTTCTAGTTGTTATGTAACCTAAGCCTGCCTTCAGGGATATGTCTGTGAACTCGAATGAATCTGTGAGTAAACTTCTGTACTTTTATATTAACATGAATCAGATTCTTGTGTTTATTCTTTTTTAAGAGGAATCAGAAAGGATTTTACCAGGAAGGAATCTTTAATAGTAAGACTCAGATGATCCAGCAACAAGCTGATCGCTGCGTAATTTAAAAAGGGGGATGTTTGGAACTCTGCTAGAATATGGAACTTGCTAGCGCAAGTGGTGGCGCTGTGGGTAAAAGCCTCAGCGCCTAGGGCTTGCCGATCGAAAGGTCGGCAGTTCTAATCCCCGCGGCGGGGTGCGCTCCCGTTGCTCGGTCCCAGCGCCTGCCAACCTAGCAGTTCGAAAGCACCCCCGGGTGCAAGTAGATAAATAGGGACCGCTTACTAGCGGGAAGGTAAACGGCGTTCCGTGTGCGGCTCTGGCTCGCCAGAGCAGCGATGTCACGCTGGCCACGTGACCCGGAAGTGTCTCCGGACAGCGCTGGCCCCCGGCCTATAGAGTGAGATGGGCGCACAACCCTAGAGTCTGTCAAGACTGGCCCGTATGGGCAGGGGTACCTTTACCTTTACTAGCGCAAGTTAGGAAGGATATTATTAAATAATATATCCACTCCTGCCTCTCTAATCATCCCCACAATACAGAGACCCTGGAGAATTGCAGTCCATTAAGAAGTGCTTTTGCACATGTAATTTTGACAGGTTTGGGACATTTCCAATTAGTGTATTCCTTCTGCTGCTACAAAGCAATATCTGGTCCGGATAACTAGTTGGTGAAGTATTGTCTAAAAGTCTAGCTAGTGTTTTAATGGCTCTTTTTCTTCTTTCAGCTAAGGCCCATTCCTTCTCTACTACACAGAGCACTGCACCACAGCAAACGTTCAGCACGATGCTGGTTCCTAAAGAATGAACTGAAGCAGGGTCCTGGACTGGTAAGTTACTGGTTTAATTTGTTGTGATGAATTATTTCTGTAACTGCACTGCAAAACATGGTGGCACTAAGGAGGCAAAAAGCTTTTTTGATCCCTTTATGGGAAACAAAACCCAGCGTTTTACAAAAGCCTGTAGTTTGGAGTGTTAGGAAGCTGAATGTTTTTGAGTGTTGAAAAAGACTTCATTATATATGTCAGTCATTAATGCATATTTATTATTCCTCTCCTCTATCCAGTTAAATAAGTGGATATTTTCTGCTGGATTGGAACTGATCTCTAGGAGCATTGTTCATAAAACATGTACCATGCTATGGGTATGTTTACAGCCAAATTTGGTTCTCCCTTCAGAGATTCCTGGGAATAGGAAGGTTGTTTTCAGAAGTGGAGGGGCTAGGGATAGCTAAAAGCCAAATTTAAATCCCCAGTCTTCTGTAGGGGAAGCCATGTGAGTTAAACGGGTATGTGTAATGAAGGCATTGTAAAGATCTGTAATGAATATGCCAGGTGAGGCTCCCTGGGGAGAGCATTCCATAAGTGGGGAGCCACTGCAGAAAAGGCTGGTTCTTGTGTTGCTGCCCTCTGGACCTCTCATGGAGGAGGCACACAAGGGCCTTAGATGATGCTCTCAGGGTCCCGATTGGTTGATCCAGGTAGAAGCAGTGAGACAGTCCTTGAGGTATTGCAGGTCTGAGCCACAGCTGAACTTGGTGAGAAAAACAAGTGTGGATTAAATAAGACGGGAGGGGAAACAGGCAGAGCTGGCCTGAGTGAGTGGCAAAAAGCTTTTATTTCCTTTTTGGGAAAGAATTGGGGGAATTGTTTTTTTGAAAGAAGGAGGATTTGTGTTATGGGACAGAAATTTGTGGGGAGGGGGCTCAGAGGGGAAAAGAGAAAAACTTTTTTTGAATACAAGTGGGACAGAGGAATAGGAGTAGGGTTTGTCTTTGCATCAGAGCATGATAAGATCCCTAATGCAGTGCAACCAAGGCCCACCTAGTCCAACATCCTATTTCAAATGGCTTCCAGCCACATGCCTATGGAAGATGTGCGTATGGAAGATAAGCGTGACGATGTGAAGATTAGGACTCTCCTCTTGTCTGTCATTTATTGAACATGGTTTTCATTTACCTATCACAGCTGTCAGATGGGGCACCCATAAGCGGATCTGGGACAGAGTAGGGAGGAGGGTCTTTGGGAAGCAGCGTAACAAAGTCCGGGGGAACTTGTAGTGCTGCCACAGCCCCACTTTTGGAGGCATCAGCTGCTGCTCTTTGTCACACACTATGCACAACTCCTTATCCAAGGAGCTCAGAGCAGCTTCTTCTTGTTGTTAGATAGCCCAATTTGGCCAGAACTGCTTAGTTTCAGCAGCAGCATAGTTTTCCATAGTTGAACCTGAAGGTTATTTTGTAGATAAAATGCTGTGAAAGACAAGCAGTACATTTTTCTTGTAGCTCATTCTAGTAAAAGCTGCAGAAACATTAATCAAAGTGCATGTCTTACCCGGCAATGCTAATGGAATGTAGTAGCCCAGTGTTGAAATACTGAGTGAAATATGAGCCGTTCACAGTGGAAGGCTGTTCTTGAAGGCTGCCGGCTTAATGCATGTGCAGTCCACCTTTTCACCCTCCAGAGCTGTCTCCGCTGCTGCTGCTGCTGCTGCTGCTGCTGCTGCACCCATTCTCTCTCCATCCATTGACTGCCCTGCGCTGCCATCCATCTCGCCTCTGCAGTTTCCATGTGCTGATCTGCCCCTTACCTGACACCCACTACGGCCCTTCTTGAGCCCTTCAGTTTAGCTCCCTCCCTCTCTTCCTATCCGCCCAGTGCTATGAGCTGCCATGCCCTGCTGGATCTGCCCTGTCTAGTCCAGTGCCCTGTTCTCTCAGTGCCTAACCAGATAGATGCCTGTGAGAAATCTGCATGCAGGATTTGAGCACAAGAGTTCTCTTCCATTCTGTGGGTTCCAGTCATCACCAACCCTCATATGAGGAAAGGAGAGGTGACTGCCTCAGGCGGCAGGATCCACAGGGACAGCAGATCCTGCCTCCAAGTAATGCATTGCCCACTGCTGCTGCTGCTGCCGCCACAGTGGCACCAATGACTCCACACTTCTTGGAAGACGGATCTGCCTCCTCCTCAGCAGCCCCCCCCCCACATTTACAGTGGCCTCTTGGCAAAAAGGAGGTGCTGCTGGTCTCCCCCACCCTGTTCCTGTTATAGATCTTTATCCCCCCCCCCCCGGTTCCTGATGTAGATCTTCACTCCTTCTTTCCTGGCTGGAGGGGGGCATTTTGTGGTTTGCCTCAGGTGCCAAAATGTATTGGGCCAGCCCTGTTTCCAGCAACTGGTTTTCAGATGTGGTTCCACCAGTATATGAGTTTTCTGCTGGCAAATCCCCTCTCTGCTGACGTGTGTGTGTGATCCACCTCTACTAACCCCTCTAGCTGGCAGATTTGGTAGTTTGGATTGCTCTTCAATAAGTTGATTTTTCTTTTCAAAATTGCAATGAATTATGTGTATGTCCAACTTACTTTTTTGTGTTTTGTAGTCATCTTGATATCTTAGTACATCCATCAAAGCTGAAAAATAATACATCGGACTAGTGTGAGAAAAAATCCTATATTTAAATGTTTTATTAATAATCTTATTACTCTTGGGTAATAGAGTTTAACAGGGTTTTTGTATTCCACTGTATGCGTTGCCAGAAATTTGTGTCAGCTTCTGCCATTTGTCTTCAGCCAGTGCACTGAATGCTTAGTATGACTTTACTAGTCTGAAAAGACAATTTGTAACCTGAAATAAGCAGCCCAGGCATTTGTTCATGTAACAGTTTTGATGAATGCATCCTGTGTTTCTTTAGTAAGGAAAATACAACACCTTATAAAATACTTCTTCTACAAAACTCTGCAGAGTGAGATGAATGAAACTGAATTACCAAACACATATGTTGTATCATTTGTGGCCCACCTCCAGAGATGGAGCCTAATGAAAGACAGTGGATTCCTGAACACTCGGAGATATTTTCCAGAGGATCAGGCAGGTGATCCTGTTGTGACTCTAGTCTGGCTGTGGAATAGCAGGCTGCAAAGACCATTAGCACCGTTGCCGGTCCTGAGTACCCTCTCTGGTGCTGTGAAGCCTGTTCTGCCTCCTGGTGCTCCAGGGGCCAGCAGACAATGGAACAGGCGGAGCAATGGCTGGAACACTAAATGTGTGCTAGAGTGCATAATGATGCTTGCTGTGTGGTGTTGCAGGCAGTGGAAGAAAGCCTCCAGGGCATCTTCAGGTGGTCATGCGGCAGAACGTATTTTGGGTGGTATAGTTAACACCTGCTACAGTGGAGGGAGCCCTGCAATCCCTCAGAAAACCCCTGTGACCTTTTTGCCCAAAACCTTTGAGGATAAGGTCCCTTGACTTAGCACAGTTTTCACAGCAAACCCAAATGAAGCATCCATCACTGCCCAACTCTGGGATCATTTTCAGTTGAGGCTGCCTGGTGATGCAGAAGTGTTGCATCACAGCTGTTTTTGTAAATCCAGTTGCTGCAGTGACAGGAGTGGGGGTGAGGCTGCAAGGACTAAGGATGGGACCCAAAGCTGCCATGGGCTGGAAGTTCCACAACTCCCTTCGGATAATGCTCACGCCGGGTTCCAAAGTACACCAGTATAGAGAACTTTATGCATATTGCTAATCAATTAGACAGCTGTATTATTATTATTATTATTATTATTATTTTTAAATGCTACTAAAAGGACTGGTTAACCGGTCTGGAGAAGAACAGGAAGGATAAAAAGCATGAAGAACTTCAATAGCTTTTCTCTTCCTTAATTGGAATCATGCCAGTTAACATTTAGGTGCAACCAAAGTGAAGCTATTTGTAGTAGGAGTTTAGAGAATGATTCAAAAGAAATTAGTCTGACTTAGAAAAGTTTTTTCTAAAATTGCTTTTATTGTTACAAGAATAAATAAATGTAATTGTTTCTTAGCAGTATCTACACTGCAAATGTTATAGTGGTTTTATTTATCCATTTAATTATCATGATTTCCCTCCTAGTATTTTGATAAATGCAACTGAAATGAAGGTGCAGATGATTGTGTTAGGGTCCCAAAACCTACCTGCAAAGAATCAAAGTTCCCAGAAGGGGACTGTAAATTTGACATCAGTTAACTACCCCACAGTTAAACAATTACCGTTGCAAGCCCAAACATGTTTACTCAGAAGTAAGTCCTATTGAATTCAGTGGCATTTATTTCCAGGTAAATTGGGTTGAGATTGCAGCCTAGGTCAGTGTTTCCCAACCTTTTTTGGGCAAAGGCACACTTGTTTCATGAAAAAAATCTCGAGGCACACCACCATGCCAGATGGGGAAAGGTCACTTTTTACTTATGTAAAAAAAAAAATAAAAAAAATAGTAACAGCATAGAAGGTAATGGTTAGGCTAGCATCCCTCTTCCAAATATGCTAGGTTTTTATTTGCAGGGACTGTTCTACATGGGAAAGCATTCAGCACTGTCATTCTCCCATCTGCCATCTGAATTGGTACTATTCTGGGTCAACTTACTCTGCTGCATGTGTAGATGAAAATGGCACCAAGTGTGGGGGGTTTTGGCCCTCTCTGAAGTGCTTCTCTGCAAGATATGGTAGGATGTGTTACACAAGTAAACACTTGCAGGGTATGATAAAGAGAGCATTCCAAGAGTGACTTGGGATGCTATGAAGATGCTGCAAAAGTGGGCATGTGATTATTGCACGCCTTAAGCTAATGCTGAATACCCAAGAGTGTACAACTGGACTGCTGAATCCTAACTGGGTGTACTGAAAAGATGCTGGATGAGACCCAGACCAATAGTACCTGCAAAAGCAGTGTTATTAAAAGCAGCTTTCCCTTTGAACATCTCTTTGTTCAAAGTGCATCTGAAGGCCTAATGACCCACTGGTTCCTTAGGAGTGAGCTTTAATGCAAGGATTTTGATGTTAATCCATGGATCAGATGTGT